CCTCTCCTCTCCTTTTTTTCTGTTTATGAAGCTATGACTAATCTCACAGACCACAGAATGGTGTATGGGGTTGCAACAGTAGGATTGAAAAAGATCTGAAAGACTTTTGTTTTTCCTAGATATAAAATGCTATCAGTAAATAGAACTATTTCGAACAGAAAACCATTATTTGAAGATTGTTACTCAGTTCATAGTATTACAAGAAATTAAGTTGGTTAGTAATCTATGGCTACGAAAAATAGTGTATTGTTAGATGAGCATCTTTTTCTGGATCAGAAGACATAGATGCACCAAAAAAAATGAAAGGTAGGATATTTTCTCTCTAATCTTCAGTAACTTCCTTACTTCATTATGAACGGCTATTTAATTTTCTTTGCTTAAATTCAAAAATATCTTGTGGGGTTTTGGTGTATGTGAACCAGACAATTGATCATTTTTTCTAAAAATAACTGGAAAACTGCTTGAAAATGAGTAAATTGATGTTCAAAGAAATTTTTGTCCCTAATATATTATCATATGCTTTTCAAATCAAAATATCACTTTTTATGATAAATGTCATTCTATCAATATATTTGTGCAAAACACAGTTGAAAGCCAGCAAATTCAAGCCTCAGTAAAGAGATATTAAATACAGTTAGATACTTTGCTATATATTAGGAAGTTTTGTGTTCCTGTGACAGCACATCTAGAACTTCTCCAAAGGCTTTATGGAAATGAATTTTGGTTTTTTATCAAAGGTTTGTCACTAGAATGTGCCATTGGAGTAGCATAATTTGAATCTTGTACTTCAGGAAAATCTTTGTTTTCTTAATTTAATCAGTTTAAAGCAATGTACTTAAGTGATTGTTTTCCAACATTTTCAGAATCATATTTTATGGCATCAAATTAGATACTAATGGCATTTCTTAACATTAAAACTATCACTTCAGAAAGCAGGTTGATAATGGATTTTGTATTTGGCCCTTGGGAATTATTAAGGGAATGAATTTGCCTGCAAGATTTCCCAATCTGCAGAAATAAATTCATTTCCAGTAAGAAAATGCTATATCTTAAAAAATAAAGGAGAAATACAGTTAAAATCAGACATGCCTGACATCCTAGAAATTATATAAGAGGTCCATCTCAGGAAGAAACTAATTTTTATTTTTTTAATTAGACATTTTATCAAACTAAGAAAACTGCTTGATCTTACTTCTGATATCAGACGTGAACTTGTGAAGGACTTGTTCTGCTAGGAGACTGAAAATTCATAACTCACTGTCTAAGTATTGATGCAGGGTTGAGACTGAAATTACAACTGCTCCTGAAGACAGATTGACATTCAGGGCCAACTTTGCACCATCTCTTACAATTGATGGAAAAATTTAACTGGATAGGCTCAGCTGGACAACTTGAAAAATTATTTCATATCCTGAGCTCAAATGATTAATAAATATTTGATCCTTGGTAATAAATCACAGCCTTATCAGGCAAAAAAGAAAAGCCATTTCAGCCATTTTTGTGATCTAACATTGCATCAATTGAGAATATCATATATATATATATATATACAAAAGAGAAAAAGTGAACACAAAAGGATTTAAATGTAGAACATGTCAGTGAATCCTGGAGGTGATGGGATAGAGCCATCTTATTTGCCATACCCATGGGATACATTTAAAAAATATTAAAATATATATCCTACTTCTTCATGGAACTTGCCTTGTCCTAATGTCAGACAAAAAGATGGTAGAGAAAACCATCTTGGTCATTTGGTACAAAATTCACATTCACATAATCGGATGTTATCAACTCCGTGAAGTTCCATATTTACTTTAGCAACAAGAATTTTCATTTCATGAGATCACGGGAATTTTTAAGAATATAGGTCACATGGACACATTAATTTTAATATTTGCAGGATCTGCTTTTGCTCACTGACTTGCTTGCTGTGATTGCCTCTGCCCCCCAAAAAAATTGGAAAATGATAATTTTAACATCTGAGGAACATGGGAATACAGAGCAGTCTATTCTTGGTTTGCAAAGTTATGTAAAGATTCCATTGTTTCCATAAGGTTGGATAAAACAAAATCTCCATTACAAGTATAGGGTATTCTTAGACCTGAAACCAACATTATTATCATAAAACTACTGCTTTCTCTTCTATATAGGCTCTTCATATTTCTATTTTAACATCTACAAAAACAAAGGCAGCCTTCTAGAACAAAGACCACTTTTTTCCAAGGGAGGAGGACCACAGCTCTGCCATGGGGAAAGACAGCAACTTCTGTGCAGACAGCAGCCTTGAGTAAAACATCCATCTGAGCAACACTACAGGCAGTGAGTGGAATTTTATTTTTGTTCTTTTGTCCTTTTTGCAGCAGACAGACAACCCTATTGAGTCACCCTGGGCTTCCAGTGGGTGGGCAGTGATCTTCTTGTGTTGTGTCCTTTTGTGTGCCACCCCTGCATTTTGTGGCACACAGGACACGTGGTGGACAGCTGCACATCTTTTGGGGACCCTGAACCAGCCCAGAGTTGAGTTGTGTAAATTCAGCCTGGAGATCCTCCATAGAGCAGGAGGAGTGACCACAGCTCTGCACTGCCACTGAGAGGAAATTCAGGGATGCTCTGAAACAAGAAACAACTGCCACAGTCTTGTGGTGATCTCTCCTTCTGTTCTTTGGCTGTCCTATTAATCTTGTGCCAAATACCTCTCTCCAACCAAAAATATAAATTTTTATTTTTTTTAGAGAATTATTCAGAGCAACTTCAACACCATATTCCAGCACAGTCAATGGAAATAGTTAAAGAAGGAAAACTTCAGTCAAACCTATAGGTTTTTGCATCAAAGATATAGCATTGCTTTGCCTCCTATCTTCCTGTGTGCTTTGCTGAGGGCTCCATTTATTATTTTTTTTTGGTTTGTAGATTTTAATAATTTCTTTTTAATTTAAAATCTTTATATCAGCTGTATGAATTTCTGACTAAGAGCAGTGCTGACGGGCTGCAGAAGACAGTGAAACATCCTGATGTGAGAGCCCTGTGTTTGGAATTTGAGTTTCTGTCACAGTGAACACTTCCAGATTCCTAGCCCCTTGCATAACTTGGTAAATCCTGTCATCTGTTTCTGATAGCATCTACTTGTAAGGCTGGAATGAGCAGTGCAAACATTCCTGAAGTCCCCTCTGTTTTTCATACCAATGGGCTCACAAGAATATCAACAGCATACCTGAAAAAGGATACAATTCTTTGAGTGATTCAAACTCATATCATTGCAGCAGCAAGAAATGGACTGCACCAGCTGAGCTGGAGAGAAAATAGTTTGAAGAAAGAGGTTTTTTTTATTCTTATTTTTAATAAGCCTCTGATTCCTATAAACTCTGTCCTCTTTTTCTTTACATAAAATTGCCCCAATATACCTATCATACTGTGTTTAGAATTGTTTCTAAATTTTTCCCTGCTATGGCACTTAAGATCATCTAAAAATTATGTATTTAAACTCCTTAGCATCCCTAGAAAATGTGGATATGCAACAGCTGAATATGAGAACTTACTCAAACTACCCTGAAAGCACACAGGTGTTGGTGCAGCACATCTGAGAAAGGCAGCTCCAGTTTTTGAAGGAAAAGAAAGAGAGAAAATTAAAAATGGGGAATCTGGGACTGTCTCTTTTCTGCATAAATAAACACACTACATGAGTCTGTGTGCAGTGTAGGTGCAGTAAGAAAATTCATAGGATTCCACTGTTTAATGTTTTACCTCTTTATTGAATGTTTTGGTATTTTGCTCCTACTAAATTACATAGAGCTTACAGAAATATTAGTAATCTCTAGGATTTCTAAACAAGGGCTTTTATTTCATTTTTATGGGGCATAGGTAAAATTATCTATCTGCTTTTCTGGCTGTGTGGTTTATTTGAAGTTTGAGAGTGAGTGAAAGGCATCATAATTTCTATTGGCATAAGCTAAGCACTGAATTTGTTCCTGAAGGGTTTATGAAGCTTGTTATGAAAACAGAAAATATCTGAAGTGTAAATCCTTGCAGCAGAAGAAAACAATATAGGCATGATATGTGATGACAGCTCTGTATCAATTATAAAACCATCCTAAGGTATACTTTAGCACTTACTAGGCCATTTTTTTTCACTACTGCACTAATTAGGAAATATTTCCTAAGGGTAAATGGGCTAAAAACAACCAGATGAAGCTACAACACAAGCATATAGGAAAAGAAATTAAAATTGGTAAAGTGCCGAAAACAGGATCAAGCCAGAGATGAAAATCATTGTACTCTTTATTGCTGCTACTATTTTTAAGTTTTTCACAAGACAATTTCATACAGGCAACATTTCCTCTGCTCGATTCAATTAAGGTGTTGGTCACTCTGCAGCTGGAAATAAATAAAGTATAGAAGACTAGCAGAAACATAGAAAAACTATGACAGAGTAAAAGTTGAAAATGCTGCCTTCCAGTATGTGCCTGGTAAAAACCAATGGGAAGAGTCCCCCTCCAGGTGACAGCTGTGCTAACAGGCCCTGGAGCACAGATGTCTTTGTCCCAAACCAACTTTACAGGCATTTGGGATTCTCTTCTGTATGACTCCTAAAGAAAAGTTTTGCTAGAATAGGACTATACATAAGTGAAATAGAACAGAACACATTTGAGGCAAAGGCATACACTTCTTGCTAAAGGAAGAAAAAGAGTGGCCAAAGACCTCTTCCAGCTATGTGGAGGAAGCAGAACTGAGAGTCCAGCTACAAGCAGCCCAGAGTATCAGGAACAATCCTGATGCCCTTCCTCAGGAGCCACTGGCACCTTGTCCAAGGCGATTTGTGTCTCAGCACAATTCCAGTGCTGCTTTCAGCCCCTTGCATTCCAACAACTTTATTTACTTTCTCATCCCTTCACTTATCTTTGCCCACCAAAAGGAGGGTGTGACATCCCTTCTGATGTCAAAGGTGGAGCAGAGACCATTAGAGGGACATGTTACATGGGAGATTGCATAATTTATTATCCAACCTTGAGCAGCTTTTACGAGTGATTCCAATAAGCCACTCTTTTTGGCCAGCTCTTTGCTAGCAGGCAGTGTCTGAATGCCTGAAAATCCTGGCCACACAGGAATTCCACAGACCACTCCACTTTGCCTCTCTTGTACACCTTCTTCTTGCTTTTTAACTTGAATTCCATGTCAGGTGAAGGCATTGCAGTGGGATTTTCCTGCAATTAAAAAAACCTGTTGATTACTTTCAAGATGAATGTTCATTACTTTTTAAGATGTCTTCTATTGTCCTGGAGCTGGTGGCTCCTCTGTGTGATGCAGCACCTGCTCAGCTTTGCTCCTGATGTTGGCTGCTGAGTGTGCAGATAAAAGGGCTTGGCAGCAGCAAGATCCAAAGGAAAGGAGTCAACTCACTTAAAGACCCTGCAGTTTCTTATTCACTTGACATCACTAAGAACGACCATGATCCTGTCTTTTGTGACTTTGGGATTGTTATAATCCTTTAAAGACTGACATGAAACAACCAGGTTCAGAGAAAATGATTTGGTCTTGATACAAGCCTTGTGTTTTGAACTGCTGAGCCACAGCATCAGACTGACATTTCTTCATCATTCAGATTACCTGAGTCTCTGGCATGCTACTGATGGACTCCAGAAACAGAACTATAACAGCTGGACTGAGTGCACTCCAAGTAAACACAGTTTTCAGGGTATATCCATAAAAAGGACTCCTAAACCTTTAATTCCTGCATCTTGTAAATGACATTTCCTTCAATTTAACTCATTCCTGACTTCTTGTATTGATCAAGATTTAGCTATTTCATCAGGAGTCCTTTTTTTAAAGTTCCTTGTTTTCAAACCTTTCTTTTCTTCTTGGATTACAGTATAATCCTCATTTGCTGAGGTCTTACTTCACTAATGAAACTTGAGTTTTTTTATATGCTTTCATGTAATCCAGTCTGCTGGTTTTGATCTAATTTTTGAACAAATTTTCATGACCTCCTTTTCATTTCCTTTAACTAAGTGTGCAGAGGTAGATGCAGAAGCACATAATATGCAATGGTCTTTGGTTTGATAAACAGTTATCTTAAACTTGCTTTTACATGTTGCCTGTTTATAAAGTGCAGGCAGAAGAAAATGAGTGACTACACTGCACTGCTCAGAAAGCTCATCTTCAGAAAACTAAATTATTGCAGGACTCTGATATATTGAGAGAGATACATGGTTCATTTAGGTTGAAATTAAAAATATAGCAAAGATCTTCTGTCCACATAAATTATCATAAATAAATATTTTTACAAGATCAAAAGCAAGCTCATATTTTTCCTATATACAGGTCATTCTTCACCTTCCACTCATTAATCTGATGTATTTGGTGACCTTTTCTATAGAACATCCTCAGTTATCAGGTTAAAATAGTAAAATTCTGGGTTTAGATTTATATTTAAGCAATCTGTATTGAAGGAGATTGTTCTAGCAAGGCTCATACACTGATCTTTATAACATTGATAAAAAATCTAGCATAAACCCATTCATTCAGTATTGTTTCATCCTTTTCCTTCTCTTTTTAATAAAAGAAATAACCTTACAAGAGACCTTAGGAAACAAAACCCCAAACAAATAAACAAACAAACAAACAAAAATCACAACAAAAAGATTTAACCTGTTGCTGGAACACAACATATGCTTTTCTAGAACTACAAGGCAAATGAAATGCTTATAATAAAATTCCTGACACTCCTGCCAAGAGTCATGCTTTGTGCTGATTACTGAAGTGCATGGCACTGTTTGTCAAATGCAGTTATTATTTCTGAGAAATTCTCTGTTGCAGAGGCACAAAAAGCCATGGTTCCTGAAAGATATACACCAACAAATGTTTATATCTGTTTATATCTACAGTCATTTTTCATGTTTGCTTAACAGAAAAAAAAGATCCTGAAGACTTCATGATGATGTTGACTTATTTCTTCTCTAACTGTCCAATTAGTCATGATGCTACACAGGGAGATATTAGTGCCATATGGAATGCAAGATGCTGAAGACACCAAGCTTTTCCTCTCTCTCATGAAGAACAGGTAAAACAGTCAGTGATTCTAAAGCCTGATGGATGTGGGAATTGAGCTTTCAAGTAGCTGCTTCACATAAAAAATCATTAAGTGAGACAAAACAGAAACATGGCCCTTCTGTGCTATCAAGGAAAGCCACAATGTGTGCACTGCATTTTCTCTTCCCTCTCAGAAGGGTTGTGATAAATCCAATGGGATTTACTTGCCTCCAAGTGAAAGATTTTGTTTGGATTTAGTTGCAGTGGAAGTTAGAAACTCCTCCTTTGAATTTTAAAATGTATTTGTGGATATTTTTAGGTCAGTTTTCTCACATAGTGGGGTTTTTCTCTTATGTATTTCTTTGGCATGTATGTATTTCTTTATATTTTATAATGGTGCTTATATTTTATTAGCTTCAAAGTACTTTTATTTTTCCCTCCTTTTATTTTAAACTCTTGTTATTACTCCAGTTGCCAGCTCAAGCTCATCCATTTTGTTCTGAATGCAGTTCTTTTGCTATTCTCCTGTTTCTGCAATGATATCTCAGTTTTGTGTTATTTTAAACTTAGCCACCTACTGCTCCTCTTCCCCCCTCCACCTTCCCACCCCCCACTGAAGATATTAAATGAAGTGAGTTTTGAGTGATATTCTAGAATTTTACAAGCAGTCTCTTTTGGATCTCTCAAGTACTTTTCCCATCAGTCTTGCCCGTTACCTTTCCTAAGTTACAGTCACTCCACAATATTCATGCACATCATATTTTCTTTTTTTTCTCTATTTTATTTCCCATATGCCATCACACAGAATGTTAAATTGCAGTCCAGGTGAATGAAATGTGAATGTGTATATATATGATTTTGTTTATTAACTCAATTATCTTAATGATGAGAGTTAAAACATTGGTCTTTGAAGGTTGTTCTTGGTTAAATATGTTTGGTTTTATTCTTATTTTCTTGTATAATGCTGGAATTTCTATTCTGTTCCCATAGTGGCATTGAGTGGACAATGGCTGTTAAAGAAACAAAAAAAAAATATATGCTCCCTTAGTCTCCTAAAGAACTCTCTTCCTTTGAGGAAGAGAGTTCAGGAATAAGAATTAAACCTTTGGAGTTCCAAGACTGAAATCAATACTGAAATGTATTGGAAAAAAATCCAATCTACATTTTTCTTTACTGGTCAAATACCATTATTTTTTTTTATTGATTTATATGTGAGAATTGGATAGAGATGAAGAAAAAAGGCAGGCAATTTTACCAGTGATAAAAATTTCAAGATGAATCATGGGAAGTGAAATTTGCGAAAACAAAATGGAAGAACTTAGACCCAAACTTGAGGGAATAAATTTTGAATCTTCATGGAATTTTGCGAGCACAAATGCATGCAACTGAAATGATGATAGTAAATATATATATAATAAATGGATTTATGTAATGTTCAATAGCATTCCTCCTTCCCCACCGAGGAGCTGGGCAGCACAGTGCAGGGTTTTCTGGAAGGATGTTAGAGTTAACAGAGCCCTCAGTGCTCATGAAGACAGAGGGAGGATGCTTCCCTTTGATCAGCTAAAGGTCTCGCATGGTGCCTTTGTGGGCCATCTGTATACCAAGGATGTAGCTTTTTTTGTGCAAAAAATGGGACTTCCAGGAGCTGAAGTTACAAATAATCCAGGTATTTTACCCTTAGCTCTTGCTTGTCTTTCCATCATGGATTTGATTTATACTAATGAAACTAACTTTCAAAATATCACAGTGTAACCAAATTAAAATTAGCCAAATGTTTGTCAAATAGCCTTTGGAATAATGTTTGGAAATAAGAGTACCTGCAACACACTATTTATAGTCTCCCTTGGAGCCACTATTGTGTAAAACATAATTAAAGAGTTTCTAAAATTCACACTACAGTCTAGGTCAGGTAAATACATAATCAGGGAGTTATTAATGGAGCTGCAATTAATTAATATGCCTCCATTGGAACCATTAAAGCTGATTAATGTTATGGCACACAAAGAGAATTTGTAGCTAACAAATCAATGACCCAGCAGAGCGTATTGTCTCCTTTGGAGCCATTACACTGCACCATATCAAAGCCTCATTAGAGAATTTTTAATTTACCGATCATCATCCCCAGTAGTCATTAGCTGTCCCAGGCTGATGATGCATGTGTATAGAAGAAATGTGAGATAGTGCTGCATCAGGAGATAGATCTCCTCCCAGTTACACTGCTGTAAATCAAGGCTAACATCACTGAAAGCAATGAATATACATGTTTTGGAAGGAGGGGAAACCAAACCCCAAAATTACACTCCAAGAGTCAAATCAGTTGAGAGTTCAAACTCCATTTATTTTGCTTATTCAATAACTCATTTTTAACCTACCAACTAAAATGTTTGATTTCTTTTTTAACCTAGAAGGGAACCCCCTCTGAACTTATAAATATATGATATGAAGGCAGGGAAAAGCAACAAATTACATATTTTCATGCCTGATATATTTGAATTTCATCTGAAGTTTATCTTGGGATCTGAAATTTTAGTATGCATTTTACTGGAGACTGCTAATGCACACTCCCAGCCCTTGCTCTTTCTAGGCACAGATTTTGCCTGAAAATTCACTCAATATTCCTCACCAAGGACAGCTCTTTCTCTGGCATTCATTAACTTTAGTGGAGCTATATCTGAGATAATTTTGTACTAAATGGTTAAATATGGAATAAATGTTCACAACTGCAGTATCCAAGAGCCTTTTGAGGATAGCACAGAACAAATATTGCAATCCTTTAAAAAGACTGGGCCCAGGTTTTATCTGTCTAAATTCAGAAACAGACTTGCTGTGGGAGGTCACTGTGCCATCCTGAGAGTGCAGGAAGGGAATGGCTCTGGGTACAGGATTTGCTGCTAGACACTTCCTTTGTAGGTTTTGTTACACTGCAATCCCCTTCAGTTTGCCTAAGATTTAAGGACCAGATTCTTGTTTTCTTTTCCTTTTTGGAGGAAGGATTATTATCTGATAGTCCTGCTCAGAAATGTAGATAAGGGTTCATTTCTTTACTTTTGATGTATTGTAAATGGTGTGTGTATTCTGTTTCACACTTTCATTTTTACAATAGGCAGAGCTTAGAGTATTGCTAAGAAGGAGAGGATTTACTACATATTGTACTGCTTTTGTTACCTACCTCAGATTTTCTGTAGTCATGGGTTTTACAAGAAGTTTGACTGAAGTAGAATAAAGGCATCACAATATTAGTTTAGCTTAGAAAAACTAAATCCACCTTTTGCAATAGCTCAAAGTTGAAAGGAAGCAGCACCTCCTCTGCTCCCCTTTTCTTTTTTAAACAGAGTGACAGTAATATTGAGCCAGTTATTTTAGAGAACATTCCTTTAATTTTCAATGAGTATCTATATAAATGCCGATATTGACATGTATTTCAGAACATGAAACTCAAATTATTTGAGAAATAGGTGTTCTAACAAGTCCCATCAGTTAAAGCGTGCTCCTGCTCCTGATTTTAAGTCCTTGCTTCATTTAAATTTTTTTACTCCTACCATTCTCAGCCAAGCAGTGGATTCTGACTGATGACAAAAAATTCACAGTACTATATTTCTTCACTAAAAGGAAACCAAAATCTAGTGGTACAGCCATAATATACCCATAGTTTGTTACATTGGTGAAATAAATCTGTGCGCCTGACAATGATATGCTTTTGTTACCTCACATTTTAAAAAAGTTAAACATTCAAGACCACTGGAATAAGGAGGGATTTTTTTCTGCTTTGGATAAAGCTTCATGAAATATTTTAGATGTGCTATTGCTAGACTTGGCAGAATCAGGAGACACCGCATAGTGTCAGGGAAATTTGCATTTTTCTCAGTTCTTCTCTTTTACCAGATTCCAACAATTTCCTTAATCTTAGTTGTTTGAAATTTTGAGTGCATTCATGCAGTTTAAAGCTTTATAAGCCATTATGGGGAGAAAATTTTAGCTAAAATTAAAGGCTTACACTGAGACAAAATTCTTGACAGGTGCAGTGTGATTGAATTTTGTGAGGCAGTGTTGGTCCACAGCAAAATACTTAAACTTCAGATAGCCAAAGAAAATACTGAAAGCAGTTGTCTAGCTGTTCAGCTTTACAAAGCATAACAATGAAACAGAAATATTGTATATATTCATATATGTGTAAGCATCAGCAAAGAAGAAAACAAAATTACATAACAAATAATGATTTTTCATAAGAATTCAATTCCTTTAATAAACCACAATGCATGCAAACTGGGATCATTTGACAGTCCTGTTTAGCAGGAGCAGAAACCAGGATTGATTGTGCAAATATTCTTCTCTGGGAATTATGCAAAACACTTTTTCTCTGCCTTAAATTGATATGCTAGGGTATCTTTTAGTATATTTGCTGCACTGCTAAATAAGTATGCTTTTTTGTGTGAATGTTTTTACTAGTATTAAATCATTTTAGACTCAAAATTAATCCTGGTCAAAGAGTTCTAGAGGAACTGAGACAAAGAATTTAATTCTTTGTCCTATTTTCTAAATGTACAAATCATTATAATTTTGATTTTAACCTCGCTGCTATGCTCTTCCCCATTTTTTTCATTTCTGCTTTGATTTACACTATGAAACAGTTTTAGACTGCATGACCAGGAAGATGAAAGTAACTGGGAGCTGTGCTCCAGTGTGCACCTAATGGACTCTAGACACAAAAAGATTATTCAGTCCAGAAGACCAGATGAGAATTAATCCAAACTTAACAACCCTGAAATTTCTACTGTCCTTTTAATGTTCCTCAATACAAACTGGTTCTCTCTGTATATCTGTTCTCTTCTGGTCCCTGCTACCTACTCACATAGAAAACCCACCCACCCAACAAACCAATTGTCATTTTTTCTTTCTCTGTCTCTAGACTGTAAACAGTTTAGGACATCTTTTTTTCTATGTTGTGTGAAAAGTGAACCTGAAATTAACTGACGTAAATTGAAATATTTGTAGACGGGGAACAATGTCAATAACAATGAGAAGAACAAA